CATACAATTCTTTCATCGTGATGTCATCTATTCTGTGAAGAGCACCAGTGCCTCCTGCAGCAAAACAGCCCCACCACAACATGATGCTGCCACCTTTATACTACATCATTGAGATGGTGTTCCCAGCCTTGTAAGCTTCCACCTTTTTCCTTCAAATGTAACGGTCATTATGACCAAACAGTTCAATTTTTGCTGTGATTTTGCAAATTGTAATCAGGCTTTTTTAATGATATTATTGGAGTAGTGGCTTCTGTCTTGCTGAGTGGCCTTTCAGCCTGTGTTGGTAAAGAACTCATTTGTGGACAATGAAACTCTCTTACCAGCTTCAGCCAGCATCTTCACAAGGTTTTTGGCATTTGTTTTCGGTTCATACACACAGTTCGCACTACAGCACATTCATCTCTGGATACAGAATCCTTCTCCTTCCTGAGCGGATTGATGGCTGAACATTCCCATTTAGTTTACACTTGCATGTACTTTTTTGAACCGATCTAAACCTTTAGGCATCTGAAAATTGTACCCTTAACTTATTTACTTTGTAACTATACCTTATACCTTTAATTGCATGTGGCAGAGCCAACTGTGTCTGAAACACTGAATGTGTATCAAAACAGCTCTGTTGTAAGTTCCTGTACCTTCTATTTCATTTAATTTGCATATCATAATAAAAAAAATAAAAAAACAAAAAACTTACACTTTAAACGTTTAAGTACCAACTGTTAACTACCAGCTGCTAACTTCTACCTGCCCATTAATAAGATATTAACTGTTGATTATTACTTTTAGAGGCTATTTTTCTACAATCCCAAATCAGAAAAGTTACGACAGTATAGAAAAAGCAAATAAAAAAGAAAGTAGTGATTTCCAAATTTACTTTGATGTATTTTATAGCAGACAAATATTTCTTGTTTTGTCTGTTCAACTTCATTTCATTTGTAAATATAACTTTTCGTATTGCAAGTGTGTAACAAATATGTGAGAAAATGATTGAAACGTTTAAAACAGTGTTCTTCAAAGAAAAATAGGAAGACATAACATAGTTAAAACATTCCTTGAATCTGGATGATTTTCAATGCATAAAGGACAAGGGCACAAGCCTAAGCTGAACTACCATGATCTCCAATCCCTCAGGAGACTGCATCAAGAATCGTCATTCATCTATAAGTGAAATCACCACATGGGCTCAGGACTACTTAGGCAAACTTTTGTACCACAATACATATTACATCAACAATTGTCAGTGAAACTGTAATGTGCCAAAAGAAAGCCCTATGTTAACAGTCTCCATAAGCATCATCAACTTCTCTGGGCTCAGAGGCATCTAGGATAGACCATCACACATTGGAAACATGTACTGTGGTCAGATGAATCAGTATCTCAGGTATTTGTTTGGGTGAAAAATATGCCGTGTAGTTTGGACCAAAGAAGAAAAAGATCATCCAGACTGTTACTAGCAACAAGTCCAAAAGCCAGGGTCTATTATGGTATGGGGTTGTGTCAGTGTCCTTGGCAATGGTAACTTGCACTTCTGTGATGGCATCATTAATGCTGAAAAGTACATAGAGATTTTGGCACACAATACGCTGCCTTGTTTTACAGAAAAAGCCTATGCATATTGTGAAACCATATTCTGCACTCATAACGAAGTCCTCGTTTCTTTCCCGAGTCAAATTCACTTCATTCACGCATCAAATTCTCTTCACAAATACGCGTGTCAAATTTCCTTCTTTCGAGAGTCAAGTTCCCTTTATTCAAAGGTCAAATTCTCTTCACAAATTCGCTTTATTCACGTGTCAAATTTGCTTCATTCGCGCATCAAATTAGCTTCATTCGCTAAATGGCTAACATGGATCCTATTGAGAGATTAGCTGTGCTTTATGTGCTTTAGGAAGGCTGAAAAACATTCGTTCGACGCCATGTTTGAGTGCACTAGATACTTTAAGAGGTGCAGCTCTCATCAAGCTCTCATCAACTCCTCCAGAAATTATACCTGGATGATGAAGGCTTTCAGTAGTGCTTCCGACTCAGCTGAGCCCAGTTTTATGAACTGTTGTTTGGTTTCAGCAAGAGGATTTCCCCTCGGGACACCAACAACAGGCGACATGTCCACTAAAGTTTAGATTTTTCAACTCGATCGATTTGTGCGTAACTTCATTCACGAGAATCGCATCATTCACGCTAACTCATTTGTGCAAATCGCACCACAGGATGTCAATTTGCGTGTTTGCATTGACTAAACATGTAAATCACTTGTGTCTAATGCTTTATCCACATCTGGTGTGAACGCAACATTACACACTCAAAAGTATAAACTTTTCCTTCACAAAAAAAATTACATACTTTCAGGGCATAGTATATGTATTCAAATTGGGACGCAGCATCAGAGCATGTGTACAGCCATTATGGTCATACTTAAAATAATAAAAAAAGCCAACTCAGCAACATACACAACGAACACTTACTATCATCCTATTAAGTGAATGAGTTTATTGTTTCATTTTTCTCTCTGAAATTACTCACATTTATGATACAAGGGGATTTTTACAACTTTAAATGCATGTTCCTGCTCTGCATGGAGAATAGATTTGCTTTTGTTTGTTTTTTTCATTGAATTTTATTAACTGTATAAAATAGGAACGTTAACAACAGGTATTGCTTCATTATTGTTTCATTTAAACAAGCTGGCTGTAAACAGGGGGGTGTGAACATCCAAAACCTTCCCGTTCGAGGTATACAGACAAAAAAGGAAGCTTTTTTTCTAAACAGATAACACGCAGACACTGCAAAGCGAGCAAAAGCAAACCACTCACTTATAACACACATACAAAACATGAAAGGAAACAGAACTTAAAAATTGCAGAGAGACTAACAGAGGTTAAAAACAGTATGAAAAAAGGAATGTGCTTTCCTCCAATAAACAATTTAAGGACAGCAGTTCTGAGAAAATAGCATGATTTCTGAGGATTGTTACGCCAAAGCCATGCAAAGAAAATGCATGCATGCAGACAGCAATACAAGTCAAAAGCAAAGAGCAGGAATGGCCTTCAAGTTTCCTGCAGGCCATAGCATTATATTTACAGTAGAAGTGATCCAAGAACAGCTTTTCGTATCATCCATTGTACAAACACAATGATATGGATCTGACATTGATATGAAGAACTTAATGTTCTCCCCATGAAGGCTAAACTACATTCATAAATGACTGTTCAATTTGCTTTTTTGTGGTTGCTTCCTTTTTACATATGATTTTGTTCACTTTTGAAGCTAGGAAAGTACTTTTACAAATCAAGAAGACATAAGAAAGTCTCTTTAAACAAACAAAACCGCATTGCCCCGATACAAACAATCACATTATTGTCATAAATAAATAACATTCAAGTTCTGGTATAGTAATAAATAAGAACAGGGACGAAACAGAAGGAAAACATACAAAAATATCCACTATGTATTCAACATTTCTTTTGTACCTGCTGGTAGCGAATATGAGAAATCATCACAAAAAAAGAGAGAAAAATAAAACAAATTAAACACTGTATGTCCGTGTCTAACAAATGAAACGCATTGTTCCATCGCACAATAAATACAGAAATCGAAGGGTTAAATAATAATTAAATAAAGACCGTCAACACAAGATTTCAAATTGGAATCTACAACAGAACTAAATCTAGTGTCACGTCTAGACATTGCATTTGTACATAAGTATGTTCAAACTGTACAACAGAGATTCATTCATTATGATGAATTCATTCAATATTATTCCCCCTAACTCATCCCATCCCATTCCAAGTCCCCAGATCACTCAAATCAATGTTTCAGTCCTTCTGCAGCAATGATTTAAGATCAGGTGACGTTCTTCAAACTTTAAAGTCAAAATAAAATAAATAAAACTGAGCACAAAAGGAAACAACACAGTTTTAAACAAATAAAATCCATCTTTTCCTTCTCAGTTTATTATTATTCGTTATGGTCTTTATGAGTCTGAGTGCAAAAAAAAAAAAAAAAAAAACATTTGCTTATGGCTGATATTTTGAGTGTGAATCTGTTCCAAACCTAGTGAGCTGCTGAATTATTGTTAAATTTCTGGCAAATCATAAAACAAAACAATATTTATTAAAGAAATTCTAAAATACTAAAGGAATAATAAAAAAAAAACTAAAGTTAAAACATTCATTATGTATGACGAGGTGCACTCCTAACATGCAGTGGAGACTTGATTCTCAATTATTTAAATAAATATTAACAAACAAAATACGGGGTGGCGACAGCGTACTGATAAGCTGACAACTTGTTTCAAACATCCTTCATTGGCAACAACTGACAGAAAACAAACCGAAGACTTTGTTTTCAACTGAATTTAAGTGCATGTTAGCATGTTGCTAAGCTAACAAACGTAAACAGAATTGATCATTTTGAACACCATTTGAAGTAAGCATGTTGCTAATGTTATTAGCCACATTCCTTGAAGAAAAATACATAATATACAAATATTGGCTTATTTAAACAGATGTTCACCATCTTGACAAGAATTTTTTGTTAATTTTTGCGTTGCATTTAAAGGACTTTCTTTGATCAAAGTGAGGTATATACTATCCCTGCTGAAAAATCCAGCTTAAACCAGCCAAGGCTGGTTGGCTGGTTTTAGCTGGTCAACCAGGCTGGTTTTAGAGGGGTTTTGGCCACTTCCAGGCTGGTTTCCAGCCATTTCCAGCCTGGTCTTAGCTAGTTAGGCTGGGAGATGACCAGCTAAAACCAGCTTGACCAGCCTAGCAGGCTGGGAGCCCAGCCAAAACCAGCTATGTCCAGCTTAAACCAGGCTGGTCAAGCTGGTTTTAGCTGGATTTAGTTGGTCATTTTCCAGCCTGACCAGCTAAGACCAGGCTGGAAATGGCTGGAAACCAGCCTGGAAGTGGCCAAAACCCCTCTAAAACCAGCCTGGTCGACCAGCTAAAACCAGCCAACCAGCCTAGGCTGGTTTAAGCTGGATTTTTTAGCAGGTATGTAAATGCAGCTCAATATGTTTTGGAACAGAGTCTGTTGGTGGAGCCGGTTTGGTCAACCATTTGAACAAGTTAAGGTGCTCAGATGATGACAGGGGAGCACACAGGTGGTTTAGCTAAAATAAAGAAGTGTGCATATTTGTATTTGTCGTCCTTGTCGAGCATGGAGAGACCGGAAAAGGAAGGGAAGAGTATGACGGAGGATGAAGCATCCATCTCCTTGGTACCTGCTTGTTCATCATGAAAAGTGCCATCTGTCAATAAATGTCCGTCATAGGATGTGCAGGAAAGTGGGGGTGGAGCTTTAATATGTTTTCTGGATAATTCCTAGCAGTAAAGACAAGCCATTACAAAGGTGAAGAAAACGGGAAGACAGACGTGATTAAATGAATATACTTGGGGTATAGGAACGACAGGGGATTGGTAAGGGGCAGGCGACATGGAAAAGACAGTGAAAGGGGAAATGTGCCTGGATTTGTGTGATTACTAGTTTCTAAACAATCATCCCATCATCCAAAATAATGTCCAAATATAAATTTCATAACTTCTAAAACTGTACATTTTTTGAGTAGTTTTACGCATGTGCATTTTGAAAAAAAGCTTGGTATTGTTTTAGAGCTGCTCCTGTGTCTCAGCAGATGCTACCAGTTTGGCATTGTCCCTGGGATTGCCCGGTGGGCATTTAGAGTCATTAGGCTGAGGGTCATGGCGACGGGCGTTTGGTGGATGTCTGTTGGGTGTGCCAGGTGGAACAGGCACCTGGCTGTTCTTCTCGTCTGAAAAAAGTTGTTTAATTACGTCAAAGAAGTTACTCAATGGGCTGCCTAGGTACACAGATAGGAAGAAAAGGAAAAAAGAGAGAAACAAAGAGAGAACAAATAGAGAAATGAACAATAGGTTCACACAAAGGAAAAGTGGACAGAAAGGGGGAAAGAGAGCAGAGGGGAGAGAAAGAGGAAAATGTGAAGACTACAACTAAGAGAAGCTTTGAGGGCAACACAAATTTTTAAATCATAAACTATGACTGTATAAACTATGAGGGTTTCCTTGTTAAACCAGCAAAAACAAACCTTTAGCCGGTCCAAACTGGTTTGAAATTTTAGTACATTACTAAAATGTTAAATTAAAGATTTGTTTTTGTGTTTGTATGAATTTTTGTGTGTTTGTACGCATTCTTGAGTTTGAGTTGCTAGATCAATTTTTTTAATCTAAATCAGCAAAAACAAACCTTTCGCTGGTCCAAGCTGGTTTGCAACTTTAGTACATTCTTAAAATGCTAAATTAGATTTTTTTTTCCCCCTTGGAAATGGAATTCATCGCCATAGCAATGCCAAAGCTAGCTTACACTATTGACCTTATTCGTCATGTTAAAGTAGGCACAGCCATTAAAAACTTTTTGGCTTGAGACTTAAAGTCTCATTCGCTTCCATTGATTTTTAGACATTAAAAACACCTTGTTATGCTGCTTGAAGTTTTCTTGTGTTATTCTACTTTTTATGTACAGTCATGAACGCACTTGTTTGTAGAGCAATTAGTTTGACTATTTTCTGCTGTTTATTATTCCTAGTCATTTCTCCAATTGGCAACTGAATCAGAAGTTCGAAAAAACAAGCACATGTCAGCATTGCAGAATACGGTCAATACAAGCTGAGCAACAACAATATACTGCATTGCAACAGCAGCATTAAAAGTCGACCACTTAAAGCTGGTAATATTTGGTTCTTTTTGTTTAAAAACAAGGTTACCAAACATATGGACAAGATTGGAACAAATAAATGAAATAAGATCTGAGTTCAAGAACGAATGACGGGAAAGACCCTACCAGTAACTTCAAAAAAAGTGCTGTTCACACAGACACAGACAATACGGGATTTGTCCGGAAAAAAAACATTCACACATTCATTCCCAAATACTGGTAAATTCTGACATCATTAACCAGAAATGACCTCTAAACAGCTACTTTTGTATCTGTAAACATTTGACCACATTACAAACTCTGTGAATGGATCAGTACTGGGAACAGCCTCGATGAAAACATATGGAGGAACACTTTTACATGTCTCTCATTCTCTCATTGAGTGTGTGATTCAACACGATTACACTCAATTTATTTAATAGCAAATTATGTTTTTTTAAAGCAAATGAATTAATCTAACAATAGATTAATTAAGTCAGAAAACCCACTAACTCTATATCAAGTAGTTGATCTAGCAATTGAGTTTCCAAACTCAAGAATACACATACAAATGGCATTAACACAATTTGGCATGCACTGTCAGCGGTATAGAGCTAGTTTTGCAAGCCACATAGACAATAAACATGTATTAACCAGTTCTTGTTGTGCATATCTTAACAGCCTGCATTGCAAGTGTTTTAGTGCACCCAAAATCTAAACAGAAAATGTACTGCACCTAAAGTACATTCACATAAACAGGAGCACTTACTGTAAAAATGAGCTACAATCTTCAGGACGTGCATTATTACAAGTGATGTGATCATATCAGATTTATATAAAGAAAAAGGTGATGTGCATTATAATGCAAATGTGAAAAATTAATGTGAAAATTCTGTCCACACCTTATAATATAATTACTACTAAAATAATACCAATACATGTTTGGAATGATAAGAGGGCAAGTAAATGATGACAGAAATTTGGCCATACTTCAAATATCTGAAGGTCATTGTATTAAATCAGGAAATTTTAGTCACACAATAGTGTTACTGCATGAATAAACAAACTACTACTGTAGTATTTACTGTAAAGCTGCAATCTGTAACTTTTTTTTCTTATTTGAGGTCATATGGAGTGACCTCGGCATTCAGCAGGGCCAGACGGAATCTGCGGATGTTTTTTACTATTTCTGCTGAGAATTTTAGTTAAAAAAAATCGGCGGATTTCTGCAGAATTATTTTGGGAGTATCCAGCGGAGTATCATAACTAAAACCTTAATATATTAAATAAAAAGTAATAAATTACTGAATAAAAACTGAATAAATTCAGATTTACACATTTACTCAAGTAAATAAACAGAATTAATAATGGGCTGCTAGTTGGGAGAATAACCTAAGCGAAAGTGTTTTTGCATTTAAGTTAATCAGAAATAGGGACAATTAGCCTTTTCAAGGTATAATGCAGTTTGGGAAATTTTCTGTTATACTTTTCCTACAGTATATGTAAGACTTTTTGTATGTGTGTTTTTTCCCGGACAACAGCATCTGCAGCAGAAAAAATATAAAAAGATGCCATGCATCCTTTTGCATCATGTGAACTATTCTGCAAGAACAACTGGATAATTTTTGTGATCTCCCGATTGCAACAGAGAAATACTGGGAAATATCTGCAGACAAATGGCATATTATGCCGATCAGCTTTATAATCTTTAAATATATATATATATATATATACACACACACACACACACACACACACACACACACACACACACACACACACACATACAGTTGAAGTCAGAATTATTAGCCACCTGAATTATCCCCACTGCATATTTTTTCCCTAATTTCTGTTTAACGGAGAGAAGTTTTTTTCAAAACATTTCTAAACAAAATATTTTAATAATTTTAAATAACTGATTTATTTTATCTCTGCCATGATGACAGTAAGTAATATTTTACTAGATATTTTCAAGACACTTCTATACAGCTTAAAATGATATTTAAAGGCTTAAGTAGGTTAATTAGGTTAACTAGGCAGGTTAGGGTAATTAGGCAAGTCATTGCCAAATCATATAATGATGGTTTGTTTTGTAGTCTATCGAAAAAAAAAAAAAAAAAAAAAGTGCTTAAAGGGGCTAATATTTTTGACCCAAAAATTGTATTTAAAAAATGTAAAACTTTTTACAATTTTTTCTAGCTGAAATAAAACAAATTTTATAAAACAGAAATAAAACAGACTTTTTTACGAGAAAGACGAGAAATACTTTTTTATTAAATGTTATATTTATATATTTAAATTAGAGTGATTTATGCAATGACATCCAAACATTCAATAGGTGACTTGAGTGATACTGATTAGTGCCACTGTATATGTAGTACACATGGGGGCATTTAACACAAAATCTTACCACATTTTAACTTTGAGTCTTTACCAGTTTTTGCAGCACACTGGGATTTCTCTGGATACGTATAAACACAAATTGAAAACAGTCAAAACTATCTCCACCATATTATTTATATTATATATTATAATTTATAATTGCCTAAATCTTTTTTTTTTTGGTTCATAAATAGGATCGGCGCATTAACTCATTACATTCACAGTGTATGCTCTTCATCATGCCTGGGTGAAGCAAATGAGCAAATTCCAGTTAACAAGCAACGAGCAAGATGTCTTCATCTACACAACATTAGGAGCAAGAAGACTTCGGTTGGGTGGTTATTAGACAACTTTGCGTAAATAATTATGCTTGTTTAGAACAAAAATAGTTTGATGAAAAACTGAAGAACATTAGAAAGTTAGTTATTTGCATGCACATGGAAAAGCCACAACCTCTTGCACAAATTAGCATAATTAAATCAGTAATTTAAGTGTTTATTTAAAGAGTGGGGAATGCAATCTGACTGCAGTGAGCATGTGCCATGTGTGCGGTGCGTTCAAACCACAGTGAGTTATACAGCAGTGAAAAAGATACTAAGCACAATAAATGAGTTTGGGTGAAAGAGAAGGAGAAAGAGAAATAGATAGTGAAAACACTGGACTGGTAACTTGGAGAAAAGGTATCATTATTTTGAAAGCATGTAATGAACTATGAACAGAAGCTCAAATTATTGAGAAAAGTAAAGAAATACTTAAATATATCACTAAATACTCCTGTTCAATGGTGTGTATTTGATTGTCAAAGCATTGAGAATTGTATGCAATGTTTTGTTTTTTTCTATGCTATTGTTCATATATCACACCAGCAGGTGGAGCTGCTATCATGGATATGTTTTGGGAAAGTTAAACAGTGTGATTAGAGAGAGTAGGATGGAAAAGTAGCTTTTCTTTTTTCTCCTCTGACAAATAACATAAGCAGTTGTTAATCCTGAAGCTCTGAATAGTTCAGGGTATCAGAAGTTATTAGGAATGGTACACCCAAAATTATGTTTTAGTGTGTACTTTGTTTTGGAAATCATAAACTGTACATTAAAAAAGCAACAACGATTCACTGAATAATGTATGCCTGACATTTAATAAAAATGTATAAATGTAAACATTTTGCTGCAAAGACAATCAGTTTAGGCTGATGTTGTAAAAGAGATTTGAAGTCCTTTAACTTTTGGATACAAAATATGCAATATGTGGTTTCCTCCGGGTGCTCCGATATATCCACCCCCCCCCCCCCCCTCCCCACCCCAGTCCAAAGACATGCGGTACAGGTTAATTGGGTAAGCTAAATTGTCTGTAGTGTATGAGTGTGAATGAGAGTGTATAGATGTTTCCCAGAGATGGGTTGCTGGTGGCATCCATTGTGTAAAAGCATGCTAGATAAGTTGGCGGTTCATTCCGCTGTGGCGACCCTAGATTAATAAAGGGACTAATTTTATTTTTTTAGATAAGATTAGATAAGAAAGATGTATTGCTCATTTGATACTGATCTTTTGATTGTCATTTATAGGGGATTTACAAAGCATAAATAGTCCTCACTTAAGGTTACAAAACACCATGAAATTGAGTTAATAAAACATTTATTAACAGTTATTAACATTCATTACTATATGCCTGAATGGTAACACTTTACAATAAGGTTCATTAGTTAATGCATTTACTAACATGAACTAATCATGAACAACACATGTACAGCATTTATTAATCATAATTGAACATTTACTAATGCATTATTAACATCCAAGTCCATGCTTGTTAACATTAGTTCATGCACCATGAGTTAACATGAACTAACAATGAACAACTGTATTTTCATTAACTAACGTTAACTAACATGAACATATACAGTGGTAAATGTACTGTTCATTGTTTGTTCATGTTAGTAAATGCATTAATTAACATTAAATAATGAACCTTATTGTAAAGTGTGACCGCCTGAATAATAAAATATATAAATGTTTATTTGAATAGTTTATTATTCATTTACTAACTCATTCTGAATGATTCTAAAAGCCACCAACTACTCTTGAATACAAATGGTTTGTAAATAATTCAATACTGAATTTAGTAAAGAACAATTGATAAGTAATAAAGTATGAAAATACAACTATTAAGCACATTATAAATAATTCAAGAACACAGCATTTGTAGCTGTATTTATAAACTGCTTACTAGCGTCTGTTAATGTAGAGTTAATGCGTAACAGATAATGAACTACTATTTGCTAATGCTTAATAAATTATTCATAGTGTGTAGTTATTATAAACTGTTACCCAAAACATTTTAGTTTCAATTATTGTGTCATTCTGATCTGTTTCATCTACAGACTCATTCACTGAAATATCCCCTTTCGGTAAAATTATTTTGTGAAATGGAAACGCTTAAATGATTTACATTTACATGTAATTACACAGTCATGTCTGAGAAAAGCTTGCTTCAAAAACAAAAGGGCATCTAAAAGTAGAGCATGTAGGGTTTCTGATTTAGTTTGGAACATACACTATAACTTGGAATCATGCAATTTTTGGCTGCAGCTCAGTTAAGTTTTGTATTTTGCAATTTTTTTTTAGATGTGTTTAAAGTATATCAATTAGGGAGGCATTAGGGATATTGATTCGATACCGCAGCTGGTATCGGCCAGCTGGTACCGATCCAAATCTGATCTTGCGCGTGTGCTTCGGTGTAATTTAAAGCCAACAAAAACCATGAAGGTAGCCTATTATAAAGTTGTCTTTTAGGCCTACTTTATCCCCTACTATATGTCCTAAAGCTATTCTATAGTTTAATGTGAAGTACAGATGAATATTCAAGTAGTTAAATTCATGTTCAATTCAGCGCTTCCCTCCGCTGCGCCTGTCAGTCATTCTTCATTTATTCACAATTCAAACTGCGTGTCACGTTTGTTTTATGACGACATGAAAAAACTCTCCAAGACTATTTGTTCCTGTTAATATAAGTAATCCATGGAGAAATGCATTTAGTTTTGCATTAAATGGGTTTATTTTGACCTGCAGCAAGGTGTTCATTGTTGTTTTCAAATCAAGTCTTTTTCTTTCGAGGGGTATTCTTTTAGTGCTGAGAATAGTTTGAAAAGCCTGGCTTATTGTGGTCAAAGTAGTTTATTAAAATAATAAAAGTGAAACTGATGGCCTTAATATGCATTGTCATTAACAGAAAAGGGAATGTTTATCAAGTAAAACTGGCCCCAGACTGTTTAGTTGAGGCTGCGGGAAAATATCAGTCTTTGCTTAAAGGCTGGTTATTTTACCAAGGATTAGCGGCAATAGTAGTAGTCTATAACAGATTTCAAAGAAATCTTGATATTAAACAAAGGAAACATAAGCTGGACCACAACAGATCAATGCCATCACGAATGCTGAAATAATGTAGCCTAGTTTAGAGCAAGCATCATGTTTTTAGTTAGATTGTGTCGTCTGTCATATCCAGTAGGCCTATGGGTCTGTTACTTTCACTAAAGAAGATATATTATTTGAGTTTAGCACCAGAGCTTTAAAAACTGTATTATGTAAAAAAAAAAAAAAAAAAAAAAAATATATATATATATATATATATATATATATATATAAACATATATTTGAATAGTTTTTTAATCATTTACTAACTCATTCTTTATGATTCTAAAAGCCACTAACTACTCTTAAATACAAACGATTTGTAAATAATGCAATACAGAATTTATTATTGAACAATTAATAAGTAATAATGTACGAAAATACAACTATTAAGCACATAAGTTTACATTTTAAGACTTTTTATTTAAAAAAATAAATGTTACACATACTGTGTGCTATGGAATGCAAAAACTTTAAAGCTCATTATCTCAAAATCATTCAGAACTCAGATAGAACCTTAACCTCAGATAGATAATTCCAAGGTGACGATTTGTAGACGATTTAAAAACTGCTAACTAACATCTGTTAATGAAGAGTTAATGCTGAACAGATAATGAACTACTATTTGCTAATGCTTTATAAATGTTTAATAGTGTGTAGTTATTTTAAAATCTTACCCAAAAAAATGTTTCAGCTAAAATTATTGTGCCATTCAGATCGATTCTCTTTGAGATGTATGTGTGTACCAGACTCATTCACTGAAGTATCCCCTTTCAGGCTTTGCTTAAAGGCTGGTTATTTTACCAACGATTAATGTCAAAAGTGGTAGCCTATTACAGATATTAAAGAAAAGTCTTAATATTAAAAGAAGGAAACAAAAGCTGGACCACAACAGATCATTGTCATAATGAATGCTCAAATAATGTAGCCAAGTTTAGAGCAAGCAACATGTTTTAGTTAGATTGTGTCGTCTGTCATATACATTAGGCCTATGGGTCTGTTACTTTTACTAAAGAAGATATATTATTTGAGTTTATCACCAGAACTATGGAAACTGTATTATGTTTAAAAAAAAACAATACAGGATCAGGATTGGATCTGTATCGGTAGATACTTGGAATTTTGATATCGGCATCAGATTGGTTCCAAGGAAATGGTATCGGTGCGTTCCTAATATCAATAAAATTATATTTTCCTGCACTAGAGATTAAATGTGAAACTCATTCAGCACAAAGAGAAGCTCCACTGGTTAAATCGACACTGTAAAGACCCATAGCAAAATAGTTATATGAATAAGTATATAAATTCACTTCTAGAAGATGGCTACAATAAATAAATACATAAAAAAAAATCAGGATTTGTGTTTTTGTTTTTTTGTTGATTTAGTAAAATAGCTCAATAGATGGTACACTGTCAGCAATTTTCTTTAGAATCTACAGTAACTTACTGGCAACAGTTGTGTAGTAACTTACTGTAAATTAATGACAGCAAAAGTACTGTATTTACATTTACAGCACCATTTATATTGCTCTAAGCATTAACAGCATTGTATATTTTTACTGTAAACAATACAGTAATTTTCACAATGCAACTTTAAACTACAGTAACATACTGCATAACTGTCCTACAGTAAAATACAGTTCACAGTACATTCCAATACTGCGTCATTTACAAAAACTGTTAACAGTGTCGCAGACCAAAACCTAAAGTTATCCTGGCCAGAAATGTTTACATTACCAGCCCAGATACATCACGCGAAAAGGACAAAGTCTCCTAAAAGTAGAAATGATAAAGCTGAGGTGCATAACTTTTAGGGAATTCTACTGTTAATGCCATCTGAGAAATGGGAGCAGCAGTGTGACTAAAGGGAATCACCACAAATTGGAAAAGTCCCTATTTCTACTAGCATCGCCAGGGATTACTTTAGGGAAGGATTGTGTGCACATATTGTAATGCTGTGTTGTGTTGAGTGAGGGTTGGGGCATGCATAATGGAGGAGGGGTATAAACAAGCATAAGAGGGAATGTGGGGCTCAGGTTTGGGTGGGGGAAGGGATAGAAGGGATTTATACTCACCAGACAGCTGCTGGACCCCTGGTTGATCATGTGTGCTTAACAACTGCGCCTGAATTGTCTCAACCACCCGCTTAAATCGTCGACTTGGCCCTATAATACAAAGTAACCGGTTAACATTTTTGGTTAAATCAAGAAGGCCGTAGCTTCCCTAAATCCAATTAGGTGATTACTTATTCAGGGTACTTGGTTTCCATCCTCATGAAAAGAGAAAGGCATATACAAAATTAGGTGACATTTTATTTTGATGGTCCATTTAAGTATTATTAGAGTGTCTGCCTAATATCTGATACTGTTCCTTTAACAGACATTTAACTGACTATGAGAAACATTGCAAGTACATATCAATTAACACTAACGCTAACCGTAACCTAACAGTCTACTTAAAATCTAATGAGCATTAGTTGGAATGTAGTTGCAATATAACTTAAATTTAACAAACCCACAGTCAAAATAAAGTGTGACCCAAAAATAAATTAGGATAATCTGGAATGCTAGAGCCTTCAGTAACGTGAAAATTTATTGGAACAATACTTGTCCCTCTAATCTAAGCCACGAGGACAACAACATTTTTCTTGGACCACACACTGCAGTGGATAAAAGCTGCTGTTGGCACTATCATGATGAGACATAATGGATATTAATGGGATAACATGAGGGAGAATGATGCATTAGCCAATATCATCATTTATTTTTAGGTGTTCTGTTTATCTTTTGTTGCTATTGAGACATGTGCAATATGTTGATGGGAAAGCTAGACTTTGCAAGATGTTATTTTGTCTCTACACCAAACGGAACTGTTTCTGAATGCTGTTCCTTACAGGACAGTAGAAAACTCAGAAAAATACAGTTGAAGTCAGAATTATTAGCCCCAAAATTGTCCATAGTGTATGAGTGTGTATGGATGTTTCCCGGAGATGGGTTGCAGCTGGAAGGGCATGCATTGCGTAAAACATATGCTGGATAAGTTGGCGGTTCATTCTGCTGTGGACCCCAGCTTAATAAAGGGACTAAGCTGAAAAGAAAATGAATTTGATGCTTTTATGTTGTGATTTGTGAAATTTACCAGTAATTCTAGAGTAAAAACTGACACAGAATTTTGAATCCTGAAATGTATTAAATCCAAATGAACATATAAATGCATAGTTTATTTTTTTGTAACGATAAATAGACAATTTTTAGATTTTTTATGCTGGTCCCTTGGGTGATTTAGGCCTGTTATGATTAAGGATGTACTCACACTAGAAACAGTTGCCTTCCACTCTTCCCACACTGCATTTTGCCTTCCGAGCCTAAGCACGCTTACATCATCGATGATGCGTCTGTTTAATTTAACAGGAAGAGAAGTGCTCTTGCTCAGCACAGTGGCGATTGCTTTAATTATATCATTTTAGTTGTTTGGGACGCAGTGACACATCAGTCAAATATTTTGCTGAAGGTGCAGATCTCTCTCTCTTATTTGCGCGCGCGCACTAACACACACACATAAGCACCAAGCACACACACAGGCAAAGCTCTCTCTCTCTCTCATTCGTACACACACACACACACACACACACACACACACACACACACACACACACACACCTCTCATTCGCGCGTGTGCTCACATACACACACAGCAACAAACAAGCTAAACACAGCATCACGCTATTTCATTTACACACATACATACGCGCGGTCGCTCGGGAGTCGGGACCGATATTGCTAGACAGCCCGCTCCCGTCCCAAATTAAACCCGTTACCGACCGCTCCCGCGATTTATTCAGAAATGTATTCCTGCGCCGCAGAAATCTGGTCGGGTCCCGCGCACCCACGGGACAGCCGCGGGAATGCAGACCTCTAGTTTGTGTCTATAATAAACATGACAGTTTGCGTTCATTGACAAGTAAAAACAATTTCCAAATGCATATTAAACAGTCCCTTAAAAGTGAAGACGCATCTTCAGCTTCGGGCTTAGAAGCGCTTTGCACTCACACTTCAAGCGTACTTAGCACAACCAAACCATGCTCTGGCACACGTCTTTCAACCAAGCAAGGCCGGGCCAACTGAACGATGCCTGGGCCCGATTCGGAGCACTCGCATGGATCAGATAGCATAGTGTGAGTGCACCCTAAGTCTAAATAAATGACACCACCAACAGGAGGTCCCTGTATTAATCAATGATTGACTAATTATTTCAACTGATGTGTTCAAATCAGCTGATTGATTTAAAAACTAAGCAAATGCCGATTACACTGAATGATTAGTTGGTCATTGATTTGTTTAAAAACAGATTAATTCTGGATTAAATTCCCACAGTGTTTCACTAAGACATGACCAGAATAAAAATAAAGAAAGTTTAAGTCACTTAAAACTAACTTGTGTCACACTTTAAAATACAGTTGAAAAAAGTAAATAAAATAAGAAAAATAAAATAAAATACAGTTCCAATAGTTAATGTATTCATGCTAACATGAACTAAAAATGAAAAATAATTTTCAACATTTAATACTTACAGTTAATACTACAGCATTTATTTATAGGTAATTTTATCAACATTTTCCAATACATGATTAGAATCCAAAGTTGAGATACATTAACATTAGTCCTGTGAGTTAACAATGACTCTTTTATCATTAACAATGGCTCTGTCCACAGAAATACAGGAATGTTCAGGCACTTTTTTCTATGTGGTTTCACTGTTTGTCCACATGAAATTGGAGAATCAAGTGACAGAAACTAAAACTTTCAGAAAAAACAGGCCAGAGTAAAGATTTTCAGAAACTCCAGGTACAGTTTGGTCAGTGTTGGGGATGCTACTTTGGAAATGTAATAGATTACAGTTTACAAATTACCCTATTTAAAATGTTATAAGTAGTGTCCCTTTTTGATTACTTTATAAAAGTAAAGTAACTGGTTACATATGATTACTTTCGGATTACTTTTAAGTTTCTAATTGATATTTTCAACTAAATCATTTTCAAGCATTTATATTAAGCAGGGGTGACCTCACAGTAGTTGTTTTCATATTTACACTGACTTGTATGCAATTTGCTGGGAAAAATACTTTGTTCCCCTTTAACAGGTTGAGATAATGTCATTATCTCCACCTGTTGGTTTGGCGTGCCTTAACATGCATCATAGCTGTTTTTTTGTCTGTTTGTTTTTTCGCATTTTCATGTGGACAGAGATGTTTTGCTTTCAGTTCGACAGTAATCAACCATAAGGAACTGTTGCTTGTTTTTTTATTTTTTTATTTAATAAAATCATTCAAATCTCTTCCACCTTTACTTCTTCCAATTGGCCATAAAATGAAAATAAATAAAATAAAAGAAACTGCTTTCTTGCCGTTTGATACTACAGTGCTACTGTATATTAAATTTATTTAAAAACATGTGATCTTATGCCCTCCATATCATTAATTAGGGGACAGGCGACCCATATCATTAATTATAGTATACACTTCATCCCTTAGTAAATGCTTGTTCTTGCTTGTAAAACAACAATTAATATTATAGCATAAATGGTTGCCCACTCCTCCTTTTATTTTCTTCATTTACTTCCATGGTATTTTTGTTCCGACCATGTATGTCAATAACTGCTGATTTTCAACATTCTTCAGACTATGTTCTTTTGTGTTTAACGAAATTTATACATTTTTAGAACCACTTGAGTAAATGGTGAAGAAATTGAAATTTTGGGGTAAACTATCCCTTTAAGCTGTTTACTGTACATTCAATTCAAGCTACACTTGCAGGCTTGATGAGCAATGACGTAACAGTGGGGTGGATTGCAGTTGCTGTGATTACCTGAGAGCAGAGTGAAGGTGACTGAATAGATGCCATTTTCCTTGTTGGCCGCAGTGCTCTCAGTGTAAGTGATGTCCACCTGGAACTTAACAGGCTTTTGGAAGACAGTGGGGCCAGCGGTGGACTTATACTCGGCTCGAAAACTCGTCTGCGAGATGACGCTGTGGCTGAGGCTGGGTATCTGAAGGAGAAAAATTGACAAGGTTTAATTAGGGTTAGGGTTAGGGTAAGAGTTAGGCCAGTCTTATGTTGCATGGGAACAATGTGTGAGTCAAAATGATTGATTTTCCTTTAATGCCAAAAATCATGTTCCATAAAAATATTCTGTAGACCTTCTACTTTAAATATATCAAAACTACCTTTTTGGTAGCATTGGTGACAACTTCATTTATAAAACTTTAAAGACAGCATAATCTGGACGTGGAGACTTTTATTTTTAGTGTGTTGTTGTACTTTCAACTGAAGCAGAATATCGAGTAGGTAAAGTATATGTCACAGTGTTGCCAACTATTTTCAATGAAAAGGCGCTAAGCTCTGCTTAAATAGTCACTAAAAGTCGCTAGATTACGCCATACGTCAATTTGCATATTTCAGATGTCATCAAGTTAAGCCATTTCTGTTTGTTTAACAGTTTATTAGATTCAACTTTATTGTCAATACACATGTACAAGTACAATGCAACAAAATGCAGTCAGTGAGGGGTATAGTTTAAAAGGGAGACAGGGGGAAAAAGCTGTTCCTCAGTCTGCTGGTTTTTGTCCAAGGGAGCCTGAAGTGTCTGCTAGAAGGCAGGAGTGAAAACTGTCTATGAGCAGGGTGAAAGGTGTCCTTAAGAATACTGTGTGCTCAGCGAAGAGTGTTTCCTCTGGATGTCCTCTATGGCTGGCAGTGTGGTCCCTGTGATGCGTTGGGCAGTTTTCACCACCCGCTGTAGTGCCTTATGCTCAGCAAAACAGAGCAGCTTCCATACCAGACTGTGACGCAGTTGGTCAGTATGCTTTCTATTGTGCAGCAGTAAAAGTTCACCAAGACGGCTGATGAAAGCTGGTTTTTCTTAAGTTGCCTCAAGAAAAACAGGTGCTGGTGAGCCTTCTTGACCAGGCTGGAGGTGTTCGTGGTCCAGGAAAGGTCCCTTGAGATTTGGGTACCCAGGAACTTGAAGGATGAGACAGGCTCGACGACCTTCTCATTGATGTGGATGGGATCACGTGAGCCTGTTTGTCCCTTCCTGAAGTCCACAATGAGCTCCTTCATCTTGTTGGTGTTGTTAAGGGAGCAGATTATTATCTGTGCACCAAGTGGCCAGATGCTGTATTTCCTCCCTGTAGGCAGTCTCATCATTATTGCTGATGTAGACCAATCACCGTGGTGTCATCTGCAAATTTGATGATGGTGTTGGATCTGTTCACAGGCCTACAGTCGATGGTAAAAAGGGAGTAGAGGAAGGGGCTCAGCACACAGCCCTGTGGTACACCATTGTTGAGTGTGACGGTGGTGGAGCAGATGTGGCCTGATCTAACATTCTGTCTGTTAGTCAGAAAGTCCATAATCCAGTTGCAGAGAGACCTGTCGATATCCAGGTCTTTAAGTTTGATCATTTGCTTAGAGGGTATGGCAGTGTTGAATGCTGAGCTGAAGTCAACGAACAGCATTCGTGCATGAGTGTTTTTATTGTCCAGGTGTGTGAGTACAGAGTGCAGTGCTATGGAGACTACATCTTCTGTGCTCCTGTTGCCACGGTAGGCAAACTGATGTGGGTCCAATGTGGATGGCAGAGAGTCTTTTAGATGTGCCAAAACCAACCGCTCGAAGTCCTTCAAGATGATGGGTGTAAGTGCTACGGGGCAGTAGTCATTCAGGCATGTTGGGCTGGAGTGTTTTGGGACTGTCACAATAGAGCTGGTTTTAAAGCAAGTTGGTGCATCTACAAGGTTAAGCGACAGGTTGAAAATGTCTGTGAATACCCCAGTCAGCTCTTCTGCACATGCTTTGAGGACCCGCCCAGGAATACCATCTGGTCCAGCAGCCTTACGCACATTGATCCGACTCAGCGTGGTGTATACTTCTGAGGAAGTGAGTGTGATAGGAGAGTGGTCGGTTGAGGAAGTTATCCTGTTGTAGGATTTTTTATTGTCTCTTTCAAAGCGGGCATAAAAGTCATTTAGCTCATTCAGGAAGGAGACATCTGTGGCTGTGGGTGTGGACTGGCTGGGTTTGTAGCTGGTGATGGCCTGGATGCCCTGCCACATGCGCATCAGAGTTGGAAAAGTGTTCCTTTAGCTGTCAATGTCTGTGTGAGAGCCACGTGTGGCCTGGGAAGCAAACATACTCCAGTCTGTGTGTTGAAACCTGTCCTGGAGTGTGGAGTCTACCACCACTGTCCACACTTTGATGGTCCTCACTGATGGCTTCACACGGTTGATGAGGGGTGAGTACTTGGGGATGAGGAACATAGAAAGGTAATCTGATTGACCCAAGTGGGGGAGGGGGGTCACAGCGTATGCTTCAGCCATGTTTGTGTAAACATGGTCTAAGATTTTGTCTCCCCTTGTGTGGCAGAAAATGTTTTGATGGAATTTGGGGAGCACCGTCTTTAAGTTTGAGTGATTAAAATCCCCCGCAACAATAAAAGCAGCCTCCGGGTGAGCAGTCTGTTGTTTGCTGATGGCTGCATGAAGTTCATTCATACCAAGCTTGGCATCAGCATCAGGAGGAAGAGGAGCAGCAGCGCTCATTTCGAGCACTTCCACCTGGCCGGGCAGGGCGCTCAGCCTGAGGTGTTCTGGTGATCTCAGGGATGAGTCGAAGAGTGCTAAAAAAAAAACTGCCCATAATACACAAACTACTATCAAAAATCTCCTGTTGGGTGTACGATGTAAAGGCACTACTGTTCTGCACGAACAGACCCGAAATGAGCGGAAATAATACTGCTAATACTGCTAAACTAGAGAGACGCCGGGCCTCGCGATGTGTATGCGCCGACTTTCTTGCCTCATAATCCCTATTATGATTAGTAAAGGGGTATTTATATTAACACTTCGCTTTATATATGCATGTCCATATAACAAAATTTATAGATGTTTGAATACAGTATATCAATATAGATGTACAGTAAATTTGCAGTAATCTCTCAGACGAAATAAACTCAGAAAAGTTTAAAAACTGTCACTAAAACATCTGTGATTGTGAACGAGGTCAAATTAAATGTATTAATTACAAAGGTAGTACCGCACACTCCCGGTGCTAAATCATTTGCCATAGGTACGCAGAAGACTGATCTGCACACAATGCAGGTCAGAGAGACTGCTGTACGAGGACTGGGTCGCCTGTCAGTGTTCTGAAGCGGGGAGGGGCCTTCGGCATCACCCGCAGCTCGTTGATTGACGGTACACTATGGGCACATGAAAGTCTATACATATTCTCCAGTAACACAAAAAAGTTGCTAGATTTGTTGCTTTATTGAAAATTCGTCACTTTGGGGGTCTGAAAAGTCGCTAAATTGGCAACACTGACTTGTCAGGATTATGTGTGCAAGGGCACCCACTAATATCCAGTTTTAATAACAGATATAGCGTTTCAACATATGCTCAAGGTCTTGAACTCTTGAAATGCAAAGTTGATTACCTGCTTCAGCACATCTGGTTGAGTGTTTTATATGAACCTGAAATATGACTGAGCTCTGCAAGTCAGTGTGCATCCAAATTTAAAGTGGGTAAAAACAAAAACAAACTAAAAAATAACATGAAAATATAGTTTTTTTCCCCTAAAAGTACTGGAATTTTTTTTTTGGCTCTCAATGGATACACATACATTATCATCAAAATTATTGCTATCACAATAAAATACCAGAAAATTTGTGATATAATTTTAAGTCCATATCACCTATCCCTATCAACATGGTATTAAGACTTTGATATACGATTACCAAGCCTATTTATTTCAGTGTACTAACTTCTATTCACGAAATAACTATTTACCTTAAAAAAAAAACAATGTGAGCTAGCAAATTAAGCATTGTCACGAGGTCTTTAAAGGTGATTTTGTCAGTATTTATTTTTTTAAACCTCAGATTCCAGATTTCCAAAAAGTCATATCTTGCCCACTGTATTATCCTAGCAAACCATACATCGAAAGAAAACTTACCTCAGTTTCAAAATATTAACACTTATAAATATTTTTGTTGTCCAGGGTTACATATTTAAGACTGGTTTTGTGGTCCAGTTGTCACCAGGGGGCGACCCCTAGGGGTGGCCACCCCTGTGTAATCTCTGGCCACCCCAATATGATTTTGCTGTTAATATAACAATTTTAAATGCAATTATGTAAATTTACAATAAATAAATAAATTAATAAAATTCAGTCACTAAAATTAGTTCAACCGCAGCAGAAAAGCTGACTTTACCATAATAATTTCAAGTTCATGGCTGTATTACTTAAAAAAAATTTTTTTTTAAATTAAGGGTAAAGTTCTTCTAACATAATTTGTTTAGCATTGTTTGATGATGACAGACGAAACCCAACTTTGATTTCACAAGAGTTTACAAGGTTTATTCACAAGGTTGGGTTCACAAGTTTATTTAACACCTCCCTTTTTTGCTGGTTGACTCACAAGGGTCAAAAATCTCAATGATTTTGTGGATGTATTTTGCAAAAAGGTACATCGATAGCAGAAGCTGTGTTGATATTGTGGCTTAAAACAGAACAAGGATAAATTACATTATTAGGGTCTGTATAATGAGTGTGTTTAAAATGCCTTTTGTTCAGTTTGTTCATTTTTCTCTTTTATTAATTGATGAATTTTAGACATGGAATATACTGTACACTGTACAATAAAAGTATGTGCAAAAATAACTGACCTGAAAGGCGTTTTTAGACAAAATATTGATTTTATTTAATTTGCACAAATATTTGCTCAATTATTGCAATATTTTTAGAGTAATTCATTAAATTAATCAAAACCACATTATTTTGTTTACCAGAAACAAGGGTGACATAATTGCAAATACTCTTAATGTATTTTTGAAAAGACTGTTGCTAACTATGGCAAGTAACTTTTTAAACATGAATTTAAACCACCTGCAAGTCTAAGCGGCACAGTAAACTCCTTTCCCTTTCCAAAAACCTCTCGAGGCACAACATCTATATGCTAATGATTCATGCCCTGCGTTGATTTTCCATTGACCTCTACTGAAAGAGGCAGCCACAGAAACCTCACACGCGCAAGCATTTTACAGAATGAAAACACAAATCAGTAAGGTGTTTGCAAATGTAAAAACACAGGCTCCCGGGCAAGCCTATCAAAACCGTTGCCGTGGGTGCAGTGTTTCAATCTGATAGAGAAAATGTAGCAGCATCTGTTCTAATATTCATAGTTGTCATTCACAATGGAGGAATGCAACAGGACTGGAGGCATGCAGAAAGAAATTGCTTACCGAGAGAAAGGCATGGACAATGTCGGCTTTTATAGAGCTCAGTGGCTTGTCCTTAATAACCACAAAGATCTGTTCCTCTTTCTCTAGGTTGATGAAGTTACCAAACCAAGATTTTTTGGCAAGTCTGTAAAAAGAGAGAGAATAATGAAACATGAATTTATTATGAAGTCTTCAGGTGATACAAGATCAGTTTTTATTAAAGCTCAAAATTTGAAAAGATACTGTTTATCATGAATTGCTACAGAAATAATACACACAGCAGAACATTTATCACAGGGTAATGATAGGTGACAGGTATAATAAATATTAAATTAAGTAATACAAAATTCCAGCAGACATTCTTGTCTCAACTATAAATAACTATTTATATTTTTCACTACTGAATAAAAAGTTATTAGACCTCCTGTAAAAACCCCAATTTTCTTTTTGGTTGGCCATCTGTTTGTTTCTAATGAGTCTCCAGTTTTCGTTACTGCAGACTAGTTCAGCAAACAGAAAGAATGAAGAAATGCCCGCATGTGTTTACACAACAGTAATCTAGTAGTAATTGCGTTGTTTTGGCATTTTGGGGATAACTATTGTGATCTTCCAATTGCAACAAACAAATACTAGGAAATCATCATTTCATGCTGTTCAGCCCTATAAATCCTAAAATGTGAGCAAAACCAGTCCATTGCAGAGTACGTTAGTTGTGCGCCTCGCTTTCACATTGCTTAATACACACAGGATGTACAACATTATGCAAATATCTTTACAAATGAAAAAGAATTAAACTAATTAAGTAGTATTCATTACAATTTGCTTTTGTATAATGTTATTATTAGTAGTTGTATTTAATATATGCATATTTTTATTTGTTTTATTAAAAACAAGCTTAGACTTGTCCACCTGTCAGGTTTTGGACCATATGAACCATAAAGCTGAAAACCTGCAACCATTGGCTTCCATGGTATTTTTTCCACTACAAATGACAGCAGTTTATAACTACTTCATGGAGAATAAATTGTGTAAAGTTTCATTTTGGGATGAAGAATCCCTTTAAAGCATCTCTACTAATGATGATAGAGAAATCAACTCCTGTGGATGACAAGCAACTCTAATTTGGTCCATTCGTAGCCTACAGAATAATAACTGTCTGTCTAAACATCCTTCCAGATCTAAAACCCTTCAGTCTGTCGCTGTTGTCAGTCAACAAAGCGTTCTCAACTTAGCTTCCAAAAAATCTAATTTATGGCAGAGGATGACAAGGAAAGGCAGAGAGTGCTACAGCTTATCCAGCTGGCGTGGAAAGTGCGTGAGGGGCGGATAAGTTATGGAAGACAAAATAGAAAACAAAAGAGGATGAAGCATCGCTCTGTGTGGGGGAGAGTTTGTTACTGCTGTCTGCTGAGCGGTGAGACCTGAGAAAGATCCGACTGAGCTTCCATCAGAGTGAAAAAAAAGACTAAATGGTTTAACAGAGGAAAACATAACTCACAATGATTTCTGAAGTGCTGAGGGGGGTTTACATCAATGCTGTTGTTGGTAAAGTATTGCTTAAGGTGTACTATTCATCTTTCTCTGACTGCGTGGTATTTTTTTAAGCAAAAAAAAAAATCGGTCCTAAAGGTATAGTTCACTCAGGAATGAAAATTCTGGTAACACTTTATTTTAAGGTACAATTCATACGATTAACAAAACATTAACCGTGACTTATTAGCTTTATTAACTCATAATTTGCTGTTTATTAATTGTTGTTAAGGTAGTTTGGTGTTTAGGTATTGGTACAATTAGCAATGTAGGATCATATAACCATGTAGAATACGTCGTTTGTAAGTTCTAACAAATAGTGAATATTTTGATAAAAATGCGGGTAGTAAACCACTAGGTACTCTCCAAAAATGTAATAATAATAAAAAGTAAAATAAAAAAAATAAAATAAAAATTATATATGCAGCTTGTTCAAACTACTTATTTAAAATAAACTAAACCAACTTAATTGTTTTATGTTTAATCCACCTAAATGTATCAACCAAACCAATTAACTTGACTTAATAGATTTAGATTGGGACAACATGATTGAAGTATATGGAACACCGCTTTTTTACAGTGTAATAGTGAGAATTATACTAGAGTGTTACCATAATTCTGTCATCATTTGCTCACCCTTTACTTGTTGCAAACCTGTTTACCCTTTTTTCTTCTGTTAAACAAAAAAGAAGATATTTTGACGAAAGCTGGAAACCTTTAACCATTGACTTCCATAGTATTTTCCTCTTTCTATCATGGAAGTCCAATTTATTACATGTTTCAGCTTTCTTCAAAATATCCTCTTTTGTGTTTAACAAAAGAAAGATAAATGTGTGGTAGCATTTAAGGGTAAAGCCCAATCCCAATTCACCCCTTTAGCCCTTCCCCTTACCCAATTGTTACAATTCTCTTTAACTTGAAGGTGTAGGGCTAAGGGGAAGGGGTAGATACCCCTTCGAATGGAGATTTTTCAGGACCATACTCGAATCCAAGGGGTAAGAAAATTTTTCATAATACACAAGAGACAGAAGTAGCATACCTCCACCCGGAAGTAAGGAGATCCACAAATTAGTAATTTTTTGTCATTATTACAATTTTTTTTTAACAAACCATCATATGTTTTAATATGTTCATAACTGCGTTCATGTTTCATCGTCATGCTTAAATTTTTTTTTTTAAATTGCTAAAATAAAAACCACTAAATTTCGCTATTTATAATCCATAATAATTACTGTACAGCAGTCCCACAACATTCTGATACTCGACACCACTCAAATACCCTATCAGAAAAGTCTAGTGGCAGGGAATTACCTTTTTACAGTGTCTGCTATAACACTAATGTTGTTTTCCTGTGTTTACATAGATTAATATACAAATATAAAACAAATCAAAAGAAGACATCTGTAACTTTCTATGAAAATAGGTGGACTTACTCTGGGGACGACTCTGGCGTTAGGCTGGACATTTCCTCTTGAGTGGGAACTGTAGAGATGAAAGCAAGAACGTTAGTGTGCTTTAGACTTAGGACTTTATACATTATTTTATAAGATATTAGCATTCAGCTTAAAGTTCAATTTAAAGGTGTTAACTAGATGAGTTAGGTTAATTAGGCAAGTTATTGGACAACAGTGGTTTGTTCTATGACCAGTTAAAAAAAAAAAAAAAAAAAAAAAGGAAATTAAGGAAATTAATAGCATTGACATTCCCAATTTTTAATTTTTTTTTTAAATTCCAGCCAAAATTTAAAAAATAAGATTTTCTAAAGAAGAAAAATATACAATATTTAATATAAAATATAATAATTTTAAAATGCTTTATTAAACATCACTTGGGAAATATTTTAAAAAGATTTCAAATTCCACAGGACTGTTAACAATGTGGGCTTCATGTTAGAGCATATAGCTGCATCCACACGTGCATAGCTTATGAGTACATGTTACATGTTGTTCATTTTAATTGGAATTAGAGGCTATTCTAGCAATAAGACTAGACTTTAAGAGATCACATGCATGAAATGAGTACTTGGAAACGTGCCATAGTAAAAAGTTGGAGCTGAACCCATCAGATCAATGGAGATTTTGTACATATAATGAACTTAAAATTGATATATATATATATATATATATATATATATATATATATATATATATATATATATATAACTTAGTTTTTACTTGCTGAATTTTATTTAAAGGTGTTACTATAAATTTACTTGCAATTTTTATTCTAGAAAAGTTGTTTTCAACCTGTGGGCCATGGGGGTAGCTGTTATTAATTGGAAAAAAAAAAAAAAAAAAAAAAAAAACATTGTTGATACAGTATATGCAAAAAAGTATTGTCATAAATAAATGTCAACAAATAAATAATAAATTCTTATTATGCATTCACTATTCGATTTCACTGATTGATTTAATAACACCCCTCTAAATTAAAACATGCTGTATAAATGTCTGTCAACAGGTCAAGTGCTCCAGTTCTCTGCCACTTTTGACTGCCAATCTGTCCAGGGACATGGACTCAGGACTTGATGCTATTTGATTCTCTGTGATGCAAGTCCACAACTTCACGCATTGGGTTAAATTAGGCTGTCCAGGCATATGACACAGCAATATTTCAAGATGTCAACGCCTTTGCGCAAAAAAACTATAGTAAAACATGCCCCTTTGTTCTAAATGGTTACATTAATTGAGTTTGCTTATTTTATTTTCAGTAAAGTAGAAACCAATGTACAAAATAAAGTATTCTTGACTCACTGCGACACTTCCACTTTAAGACACTCATTTTTGTACAGGTGATTAACTTTGTCTGTGGGATTCCGCAAAATGGATAAAAAGTAAAAATACATTAAAAAGGCAAATAAAGTTTTTATCTAACCCACAGAAGTAACAAATTATCATACCTGTCAACATTGGGATGTAAAAATACTCTTGCAATTATATAATTTTTTTTATAAAAATTAAAAATATGTGAAAAATGTGGGAAAAAATTACTAAGATAGAACGGTAAAATACGGAAGAATTCTGGCAAAAATAGGAAGGTTGACAGGTATGCAAAGGTGCTATATTTAAGACTCTTCTAAAGCATACAAATACCATGATATGTTTGCTGATATTTAAGAAACATGCTAAGTAAACATTCTTGTTTATCTGAAAAACAATGCTCAAGTCAGATATTCTGCTTTCAAAATGTCTGCTAGAAATAGAAGCCGCTTACTTTTTTTCTTTTCTTTAGAAGATTAATATAAAAATACTCTTAATATGGAGATTACTCCTTCTATCGCATGTCGTTGCTTATTTAGGCTTAAATCAGCCTTAGGGCTCGATCGTCAAACTTGCGTTGGTCCTCAACCTGGCACCTGGTGGTTGCATTTATTTTGATCCCAGAACTCAATACCTAGTTTAACCACTGGGAGTAAAACTTGCATACTGTACGTTTAAGGCTATTTTACTAAATAAGTGACGTCAAAAAAACGGATGTGACGAATTTCCATTCGAGTGTGGTGTGCATGCCGCGCTTTCAGATCAGACATGGCCATCACAAGTTACAATCACAAGGTCACATTTGTTTTTGTTCAAATCTAACATAAATGTTTTGTCTAGAAAAAAAAATCTGTCTAGTGAAGGAACTTGCTTTGCCTGTTCCATTATTTTGGTTTTTCCATTTCCCCAAAAAGTGTAAACGGGAGTGTCTCTGGACATAGTGACCTGCTATGTACTTTACATTGTATGTTCATTTAAATCATTGGTAGTTTATTCAATAAAGAAAGTTAACAGGGTGTCACAGTGTATCATGATTGCCTCACAGGTTTTTTCCAGGTTTCCCAGTTTCCCCCACAGTCCAAAGACATGTCATATAGGTGAATTGAATAAGCTAAATTGGCCATAGTGAATGTGTGTGAAAGAGTGTGTATGGGTGTTTCCCAGTGTTGGGTTGTGGGTGGAGAGGCATCCGCTGCGTAAAACATATGCTGGATAAGTTGGCGGTTGATTCCACTGTGGCAACCCCTGATTAATAAGCGGGCTAAGCCTAAATGAAAATGAATGAATGAATGAAAGTTAACAGTTGTCAGTTGCTAACCATGCAAAAAATTCTAATCGTGGGACCACAGAAACATGCATGTTTGGTTTAGTGGGCTGCCAGTAAAAAAGGTTGAAAACCTCTGTTCTAAAAAAAAAAATATTGGACAAGACTCTCTAAACACTCCAGTAGACAAGATGATCTTATCAAGAATTTTGTTTCATTCCCTGCAACATAAAGAGAGCAAGAGATTTAAAGCCCCACGATGTTGCAGTATCCCACTGACCTACACAAGACAAGTGGTGAGGAGAATGAATAGATGGATGAATTGTAGCTTGTTTCTCCAGATATTTGTCACAATACATTTACATTTAGTCAGATGACAGATGCTTGTCCAAAATGATTTACAATTTAGAAAGCATTCAGCAATTCAAAAAGGCAGTGCCCACAGGAAATGCTAATTATAGATATATAATACAATATAATTATAGATCAGGGGTCAACAACCCTGTTCCTAGAGAGCTACCTAGCTGCAAATTTCAGTTGCAACACTGACCAAACACACCTGTCTGTAATGATCAAGTGCTGCTTCAGGTGCCAATTACAGTAATTGGTTCAGGTGTGTATGAACAGGGTTGAAGCTGCTAAAAGGTAGCTATACAGGAACAGTGTTGGTGACCCCTGATATAGATATTTAACACAATACCTTGCAGTTTCCTCCGATGAAAGCGGGGCGAGCCCAGAAAGCTGTTCTTGAAGGAGTTGAGTCGTGTCTTCCAGGGCATTCCCCCAATGGAGGGGCTCGGTGGTGGTGTAGGGGTCGGTGTCCCTGCAGGGCTGTTCTTCGGCGTGTGGATAGGTGTTCCTTTGGGGGTGGGAATAGGGCTGCTCCTTGGAGAAGGGTGTGGGGTCACCTGTATTGTAGGGATAGATTTGGTGGTGTGGTCAGAGCCGGGCACAGGGTGGAAATGGTGTAGACGAATGGGAGAAAGTGGGACAGCAGGTCTAAAAGGGACAGAGAGTTGAGGAGGAATAATAGATGCAGGGGTTGCCCTCCGCACCAGTGGGCTGCCCGGTATACACGGTGCTTGAGGCTGACATGGAGTTGAAGGTTCTGATTTGGCTGTCGAAATGTGTTCTGGCTCGGATTCAGGTAGGGGGTTTGATCGGGCAGACTGTAAAGGTTTATCTTTGGGTTTGGCTGGAAGAGTTTGAGTCTTCGGGTAAGGCAAAAGAGACTCAGATATAGAGTTTGGTGTCAGCGAGTTAGAAGTTTTTGCCATGTTTTGATCTGAGTTTGGTTTTAGAGAATCTATGATACTAGAACTAGGGGATAAGAGCAGCTCGCTGGATTGAGGAGGGACGCAAAACTTTCGGACAGGCTGTAGGTGCAGACAAGAACCAGAGCAGAACACATCAAGACATGCAGGCACGTATCACAAAGCATTGTAGGTAAAGTACAAAGAGGGATTTAAGGAAGAAGAAGGGGCCATGGTGATGCAGAAGAAACAAAAAAAGCATGCAGTTAGCCAAGACAGGTGAGCGAAAGAAGCAACAATTGTGAAGATCAAACCAAGAGAAAGATCTTTTCAAGCACAAAGAAAGATGCCAGTGAGAAAATAAATGGGTTAAAGAGCAGAACTTTCTACTGCGGAATGGGCGACTTTAAAGAAGAGCACAGAAAGATGCGGACATTGCGAGTTTTAGAACTTAGGTCAATAGCTATGTTTCCATCCACCTATTTTTATGCACATTTTGAATATGCGCATAAACATTTGGTTGATGGAAACGCCAAGATGTGCATAAATTTAAAAAATGCGCATAAAAACATTTGCATAACTGAGTAGGATAAACTTTTTATCTAATTAGAAAAGATGCGCATAAACTACGATGGAAAGACTTTTACTGAACAAAGGTCATGTGATTTTGTCATAAGACAACATGTGATGATAAAAATATCTGTAAATGGAAAAATCAGCAAGCTGACTGGATTGTAAAACATCTGAAATGTTGTTTTGGTCTTTCTAAAACACCTTAGCCATTTCAGTATTAGTGTTATTATATTATTAATTACCTCCAGAACTGTCAAGAGGGTCTGCACTCTGCGCTTCATGGCTTCAAACGCCATTGCGCGTTCATTGTGTGTTGGCATCATTTTATGAGATGTAAGTCATTTATTAAATTAAGAAAAGATTCACACAAGATTCTCCTATTGCAGATTTTTACTGTCGATATTTGGCACCAGTAAATCAGGAAGTGAGCATTTTTTTCTCTTGAACTCTGATAGAAACGCTGCTGTATTTGCACGTCTTTTATTCGATATTTCAGATTTGCACATAAACTTAATTCACATTTTGGATGGAAACATAGCTAATGAATTAAAAGCATCCATAATAAATCAAATGGAATATCATTGAATAGCCTAAAATTGTTGCATAATTTTTTGTTGTAAATGACTAATATTAATGAAAACTGAAGAAGCTTTCTTACAACAACAACAATACTACTACAACTGTTATTATGATTATGATGATGATAATGATGATTATTATTGTTATTATTATTACTAACTTAGATGAAATGACCACATTTGGTTGAAGAAATAATATGACTATATATGGTTTTTATTAAATAAGTGAAATCCAAGCTTACTGTTTTTTATTATGATCCAAAGACAGTTGTCACTTTCACATTTAAAATTTTTTAACTTTAAGTACAACAAAATGACTAAGATTAAATTCAAAAGAAAGCACCCACATAACTGTATTTATAAAATGCATTTCAATGTTTTTTTTTTTTTTTTTTTTTAAATTGGTATACATTGGTTGGTAAATATGTCATATATATGACAAAACATTACTCATGCCATTGACCTGCATGGATTTAGATTCACATAGAAATGGAGCCGCCATTTTAGTACAGGGTAGCGCTCCTTTGAAATGAATATAGGACCAAGATGCAGTAAAGGACTGGCCACCCAGAGCTAGAGATATATACATATATATACCTATATCCATGATCAGGAGTTTTCCAAGTGGTCAGTATGCAAATATTTTTTAAATTATGAAATTTATCATTTTACATCACTTTTCTACATCGATGGATAAGTGACCGCACGGGCATTGCCGTCAAAGAACATGTGTTTGTGTGCATGGACATGTATTATCTCCCTCTCTGTTAAATTTGATCTAATCGATGTCCTGAAACACTCCTCCTCTTCTGCTTTCACTTTTTAGTTGACCGGAGGGAGTCATTTGCTTGTGAATGAATCCCTGTTATAAACGATTGATTCACCTAGCCAAGAATAATAGGTTTTTGGCACTGCAGCAACTTTTTGTCATATTTCATTTACATTGTTTGCTTATTTTATTCAACAAAACTAGTATAAGCCTAGTATTGAGTGCAAGTAATGCTACTTTGCCTTTCGGTAAGAGATTGTATTATCATCAATAATGTTACTTGTTTAACACAAAAGTGTGTAACATACAAAATGGTAAAAACAAAATCTTACCTATAAAATGTTCTGTCCTTATGCTTTATTTTCTTTGTTTGCTCGTTACTACACCCGTAAACAGCGCTAAAGTCCAGCATCTTCAGATTGGCTTTAGTCTTGACTAGTGCAGCTGAATGACAGTTGGGAGCATTGTACAAATATGGCTGTGCTATTGACGCATGCTCAGGGCCTGTATGCGAGATCTAGTGTATATATTTATGACAAACTTACAGCAAACTGCAAAATTTGATTGCATCATCAAACTTGAAAACTTGAGTGTCTCAATATGAATATCTCAAAACACAAAAGCTAAAAATTTTAAATCGCTAATCGTCTCTTCACTTTATGAATTCAGCAAAACAATGAATGTTTAATTTGTCAAACATGAAAAAAGACAGCAAGATCTTCAAAATCATCAATTTTGATATGACATACAGAACGGTCATTTATACAGTGAACTTTTAAAGCAATTTCCAGCAGGAATCAGCACTATACATTGCAGAGCTTTACTGTAAGGAATCTGTAATCTGTGAGCCGTCTTAAACAAGTCAACTGGAAAAGTTTAGCCAAGAGCTTGTGTGCTAATCGGAGAAGCAGGATTTTCAACAGCACTTCCTGAGCTGGATTTACATTTGGGGAAGGATACAGAGACAAGCAAAAGAGATGAAAGAGTATCTCCATGAAACAAAAGCCACTTTCTTCTGCAACTCACACTTTCTTTATCGCTTCTCTTACTTTGCTACATGTTCAGATGGGGTATTTCATAACTGTGGTAAAATCAGATTGTTTAAGTGAAATGTAGTAATAATACAATTTAAATGGCAGCATTATAGATATAACCAGGTTGCATTAGATTACCCTCCCCAATTCTCATATTTATTTCATAAATTTTGGCAATGATGGGTATTAGATTTTTGTTTAGCATTCTAACCCTAACCCTAAATCTCACAAATTCTGCTTTCCTAAACAACTGGGCACCAATTAACGTAGTGATATTTGGATTTATTACAATACAACCAAGATCTTCTGTGAAATATTCAATCTGCCAGGACTATAAGAACAGTTTTTTGCAAGAGTGCATGATTCAAGTCATGTGCTTTCTTAGTGTTCTTTGCTTGCTTTAAGTATATATTAAGTATATAAGTTATTTATATATTTTTTACAACAGTTTTGTGTTTACACTTCTAAAACAACCTATTTAAAATTTTTTTATTTCCGATTTAAAAGCCATGAACCAGTTTCTAAATTCTTCTACATGTTTTATCTGTATCCAAAATATGAAATTACATTATGCTAACTCACTCAGATATGTGTTAAATTATTCTAAATTAATAATTATTATCTCAGGAAATTAATCAACAACTATTTTTATCATGATATTTCAGCTCTACCTTGAACTTTAAACACTTTAAACACGCAAGACATGTTTGGCATGATTTGTAGCTATTTTCAGACCAGCATAACCCTAATTTTCACATTTTGCACCATGTTGTTTAAATAGAAAATTCATTTGTGCCACTTTGCGGACTCATGGGTGTTCTGGTCCTGCATTGTTGGCACATTGCTATTTTAAAGAACTGAAATAGATTGCTCTATTGACCAAATAAACCCTGGTCCAAAGAAGTAGAAGACACTTTTTTATTATTGTTTATTTATTCATGTGCTGAAAATTAGAACTAAATTTAGAAATAGTTTCAAAACAAATCTTTGGGCTTAACAAAGAAAAATAAATATGTTGGCTAATGGATGTCTTCAGTGGAGTGAAGTACAACATTATTTCCTTATTCATGAAAGTAAACAAGTAAAGTAAAAAGTAAAAGCAAACTAATAATGAAAGGTTGAATGGAGGAGGCTCGTTCTTTTATCCTTGCTGCAGTTGGTCTGCATATTTGTTTTCTCGCTAGTGAGAAATTTAGATTTTCGTCTTACAAAGTCTGCCCTGTAAATAACAAATGCACCATGGCGTGATGCAACTGACTCTTAAAGGGAATGGGAGATGAAACTCTGATTGGTTTTATGCATGTTATGCTCAAAACACACCCATATCTCATTAGGAGAACAAGCACAACCCTGTTAGACCATGAGCCACGGCACGGTATTTTTTCATCTTTAAAATAATGATTCTGCACCATGAGCTTTAGACTTTGTGCCTAGATCATTAAAATAGAGCCCTTTATGTTCTATTGTAGTGTAATACAGTTGAATTCAGAATTATTAGCTCCCTTTAATTTTTTTTTCTTTTTTAATATTTCCCAAATGATTTTTAACGGAGCAAGCAAAAATGTTCACAGTATGTCTGATAATATTTTTCTTCTGAAGAAAGTCTTATTTGTTTTATTTTGGCTAGACTAAAAGAAGTTTTAAATTTTTTAAACACAATTTTAGGGACAAAATTTTTAAGCTATTTCTTTTTTTTCTTTTTTTTTTGATAGTCCACAGAACAATCCATCATTATACAATAACTTGCCTAATTACCCTTACCTGCCTAGTTAACCTAAATAACCTAGTTAAGCCTTTAAATGTCACTTTAAGCTGTGTAGAAGTATCTTGAAAAATATCTAGTCTAATATTACTTACTGTCATCATGGCAAAGATAAACTAAATAAGTTATTAGAGATGATTTATTAAAACTATTATGATTAGAAATGTGTTGAAAAAAAATCTTATTTCTGTTAAACAGAAATCGGGAAAAAAATAAACAAGCAGTCTAATAATTCAGGGGGGCTAATAATTGTGACTTCAACTGTACATGTAAATACATCTCTGTGCCGATTTTTAACAGTGCTTTAATTCATGCTGGAATTTTGTAAACAAGGCACAATATAATAGAGTTCATGAAGAAACTTTTCTTAAAAGATAAAAGAGAAATATATTGGATATACCTCTTCCACAATGGTCCCTAAGTAAACAATCTGATGACATATTGTCTGTAAATTACATTTTATTCTGCAAATTTGTTTTCAAATCACTTACTTATACCAGTTGACTTAAAGTGCAAGCCTTACAGGCACAGTTTACCCAAAACTGAAAATTTACTCAAATTTATTTACCCTCAGTTAGTTTCAAACATTTTACAAGTTCCTTTATTCTGTTAAACACTAAAGAATATATTTTTAAAAAGTCTGAAAATCTGTAACCACTGTTCTCTTTTGTAGAAAAAACACATATTATAGAAGTCAGTGGTTACAGGTTTTACCCAACAAGTAAAGGGTGAGTAAATTATAGGATTTTCATTTTTGGGTGAACTATCCACTAGATTAGTTGTCCCTTGTGTTGCTGTGTAACATATCACCTAAAACCTAACCTATTTATGCTACATTTTATGGCTCATTTGTTTATAATAACTTTACTATAACTTTTAAATGTCACAGCTAACAATTCAGATTTATTTTATGGAAATTAGCGTACATCGCTAATCACAGTTATGCAGTGAATGTGACGTCCTCCAAACACAAAATGGAGTGTGATATTGTTGCTATGAATGTGACAGTGCAGAAATGTACTAATTGGTGGACAGAGAGAAGTGGGTGTGTCAGGAGTTTACTCACTCTTGGACTGCTGAGAGGGCTGGTGGAGAGACCAGAGGATGCGCCGCTGATGGACCGTGACCTGTGAAGAGACAGACCATAAAACACACACAGTAAGATGATGCTTACAGCTAAGAGTGGACAGGATGGGAGAATCATTTTATTAAACAAGTGCAACAGACATCAGAGTCTTTGATTTGATTATGTTTGATTTTTTCATTATTATGTTGTGTTGAATAAACTTGGGGTTAATAAGATTTTGTTTTCTTTTTTTAAAGAAATCTATACTTTTAATAATAAATCAAATTATTCATTTATGTTAGAAATTCATTTTGTTTCAATAATTTTCTATTTCTATTATTCAAAGAATCCTGGAGAAAAAAAAAACACTCAAAAAAAAAAAAAAACAATGAAGAATTACAACTATTTTCAATATTGATATTGATGAATGCTTGTTGGGCATAACTTAGTATATTGAAAACATAAATGAAGGATCAGTTTTCATGAAAGGATCTTTTCTCTCCACTGTCGCCACTGGCTTGCTGGTTTGGGACTTGTGGAGCGGCGCAATAATGTAATTGCTCTCTAAAACCACACTGAACTGAACTGAACTAAACTGAACTCTGAAAACTGGACTGACATTTAAATTGTTTCAATTTACTAGAACTTTTATGTTAAGCTGCTTTGACACAGTCTACATTGTAAAAGCACTATAGAAATAATGATGAATTGTATAAAGACATTTTTAAATGTTATTAATATTTTCACAGTTTCACAGTTATTCATTTTACCACACGTTTTTCAAAAACATTCCAACTCCAAGCCTTTGAATGCAAATTATGTATAATGTATAACCAGCCTGATCTCACAAGGAAACGTAAGTATTTTTTAAGTTTTGTCAGTTTAGTGGCTAATTCGTACAAATTTGTACATTTTCAGTCATATGAAATTGTACGATTTTAAAAAGGAGGTGTGGCACCTAACCCCACCCCTAATCCAACCGTCATTGTGTGATAAGCAAATTGTACTAAATTGTAAGAATTAAATCGTACAAATTCATACAAATTAGCAACAAAATCTAAAAGTTACTGATTGCTGTGAGATTGTGTTGGTATAACATACTTTTGAGCAAAGACAATAAATATTGCGATTCTTGAAGATTGTGGAAAAGGATACAGGCCATAAAATTATAATACAGATAGTCACTGTAAGCTTTGCCAACCTTTTAATTTTAAAGGATTTCTTTTAATAGTACGTTTGTTTCTTTGTGTTTTTTTATGGAGCTAATAATATGCCAAAACTATCTGAATTTGAATTGTGTTAATTTGAATTATTTACAATTGAAATTTAATAAAGTTAAAATACAAATGAGTTTAATTTTACATTAGGCTATATGTAGATAAAAAATACAATAAAAAAATTATTTTTACCTATTTCCAGACCCCCTCGTAATTGGCACCCTGTAATTCATCCATAACTATGAATCAAGCAGAGGTGAGTGATTCTTAGTTTGACTTTTCGGTGATCGTCTACTTGTCTACTTTTCCCTGTTGATTTTCCCCTGACCTACTTTTTGCTGAATCTGAATTTCTGGTTTTGAATTTTATAATATTGAATTTGATGTTCTGAATTTCTTCATCTTGAAAACTAAAAACTGTATTTTTACAAACTTCATATTTGCAGTCTGATATCTGCAATCTGAAGTTTGAAAATACAACTATAAAAAATTCACCATTGAAAAATTCAGTTGTCTTAAATTTCAGACGTTCAACATTCACGTTATGAAATTCAAATTAAGAAATTCAAATAAAAAAAATGACGGCATTTAAAAATTCTGATTTATTAAAATTACAATTGTCAAAAATTCAAATTAACAAAATTGAAATTCAGATTGTTTGGCATATTATTAAAAACAGACTGAACTCTCAATCATCAATAGCCATGTACACTTCAGTCGTTCATTTTTATGCATCTTTATTCCAACAATCTCAACAAATGTTTTACCCCTTTTTCATTATTATACAGAGATTATAAATGATAAAATCCATGTGCTTTCAGCTTAAAAAAATAAATAAAAGTATGAATAAAAAAATTCTAAGTGGTTTCAGACTTTTCCCTTAAACTTTGGTCTCGTCTTTCTCTCAACATTTTTATCCCTTTTGCCACTTTGAATCTTGGTCTCTTTGTCCCTCTGTCTCTCTGGAGCTCTAATTCAGGTCAGTTGTCAGGCCTGCTTGGGATAAAAGCAGCCCCTTCGGCCCTAAAGCTCTGAACTGGACAGCAGTCTGATCAGTGTCCCTATGTCCTGAAAAACAGGGTAAGCTTCTCTAAAAAGAAACGCAGACAGTTGTGTCAGCAAGAGTTTAAATGTTTTGAGCCAGGGACATAGAAAAAATTATTGCAAAGATGAAGAATGTTTAGTGGCTAATTCATACAAAGTCATATGAGAGCTAAAGTTGAATATTTTCTTTTGTAGATTTGACAACTCCGACCAGACACCCCACATCTGCACGGACCATCTCCCTACACAGCCCTCAACACCTCCAGTCAACCACCACCCCCCACCCCCCACCCCCTCACTTCAGTTCAGAGAGGATAATGTGCGACCAGGCCCAGACAATGTTTCACCAGCCTGTCTGAGGAGCTGCGCTGACCAGCTGGCTCCCATTTTCAGACAGATCTTCAACAGATCACTAAAACAGTGCAAAGTCCCATCCTGCTTTCAGCGCTCCACTATCATCCCAATCCCGAAGAAGCTAAAGATCACAGGACTCACTGACTACAGACCTGTTGCCTTAACATCTGTGGCCATAAAGTCATTCAAAAGACTGGTGCTAGCATATCTGAAGGACATCACTGGATCCCGGCTGGACCCCCTGGTCAGTGGATGATGCAGTCAATATGGGACTGCATTATACAACATCTGGACAAACCAGGGAACTACGCAAGGATTCTGTTTGTGGACTTCAGTTCTGCCTTTAACACCATCGTCCCATCACTGCTCGAGTACAAACTGACCCAGCTCTCTGTTCCTAGCTCTGTCTGTCAATGGATCACCAGCTTTCTGACAGGTAGACAACAGCTAGTTAGAATGGGCAAAATCACATCTGACATCTTGCCATATCACTCTGGACGCCTCGCACCCAGCATACTTCCTGTTCGAACTTTTACTGTCTGGTCGGCGCTTCATAGCACCAAGCTCAAAAACAGCCAGAGACAGGAAAAGTTTCTTTCCTCAGGCCATCTACCTCATACACAGTTAAATATTCCCCCACTGTGCATAAAACGTGCAATACTGTCTCATACGCACTTGTAAACAGCACCTTATATCAATATACAATTCAATACATTCACATTTCAGCTCCGTATAACCTGTATATTTTTAACAAATCTGTACATACAATTTAACATGCAGATCTTTTTGACCAACTGAATCTCTGTTTAATGTTTAGTGCCTTTTTTCATATCTATTTAGTGTTTTCACTTGTCAATTTATGTACACTGGAAGCTTCTGTAGAGAAAACAAATTCCTTGTGTGTGTGAAGCACACTTGGTAATAAAACTGATTGTGATTCTGAGAAACCTACTATAATGTACGATTTTTAAAAGGAGGTGTGGCGCCAAAACCCACCCCCAATTCCAAAGTCATTGGGGGAAGAGCAAATCGTACCAAATTGTAAGAATGAGAAATTCTAATTCATATGACTTAGCCACTAAATCAAAAAGTTATGAATTGCCTTGAGATAGCATTGGAAGTTCCCTGCATGCTTTGCTTGGGATTAAATTAGAGTGAGACATTTTGACAATAAAAGTAATCGTAAGTGTTTAAGGGGATTGAACATAAAAAAAAAAAAAAAGTGGTCCCCAAAAACACTTTGTGTTAAAAAAAAAGTTGTTAGATCAAACAGCAAACTGTGTTTGTTTTAATTAAGTTAATAAAATAACTTGTTATAGAAAATAATCTTCACTTAGTTTGAAGATTTTGATAAGTTCTCAGTAATGATTTGAGTTTTGGGGTTACCAACTCGCAGAAAAGTAGCATTCATTATTTTGGTATAAGCAGCTTAGATATCAATTACATTGTTTGTTGCTTCACGCAATGAGACAATACTGTGCTAAATCTAGTTCTAGTAATATCCGTCCCAACTAACTGTAAGCATTAGTAATGAAGTTGCATTTTAAACTGTAATAAATAACATACAATTCTGGTTGTCTAAATTGGCTTCGGAAGAGTATACTGTGTTTACCAGGCAATTCAAATGAAAGTTATACGACATGGGCGGTAAGGTGGCGCAGCGGGTAGCACGATCACAGCAAGAAGGTCGCTGGTTCGAGCCCCAGCTGAGTCAGTTAGCATTTCTGGGTGGAGTTTGTATGTTCTCCCTGCGTTCGCGTGGGTTCCCTCTGGGAGCTCCGGATTCCCCCACAGTCTAAAGACATGCAGATTAGGTGAATTGAATAAGCTAAATTGGCCGTAATATATGTGTGTGAATGCAGAAGTTTATGGGTGTTTTCCAGTGTCGGGTTGTGACTGGAATGGTTCAGTCCACTGTGGCGACCCCTGATTAATAAAGGAAATAAGCCGAATAGAAAATGATTTAATGAGTTATTAGAAACAATGGATCAAAATGCTCATGAGCTACATTTGCCGTATGTTGCCATACGTTGAATTAACTCAATTCAAATAAGTTGAAGTAATGTAATGTGTGGAAATGTGTGATATAATTCAATTAATTCACATCAACGACTAATTGTTTTGAGTGTGATCAGTTGCTTCCATGTTTGGGGTGGCAGCCCTTTTCTGGTCCTCACAATAATCTTAACCATGCCTCTCTTAGCATTAGCTTACCATGCGGGAATGATTCCCAGTAGGAAAGCTCAGCCCCGTACTTTGTAAAAATGCTGGGTTCCACACATTTCCATCACATTGTTTCAATATAAATTGATTAAGTTAACTTAATAGTTTTTAAATTTAGGGGTGGCATGGTGGCTCAGTGGTTAGTACTGTTGCCTCACAGCAGGAAGGTTGCTGGTTCGAGTCCCGCCTAGGCCAGTTGGCATTTCTGTGTGGAGTTTGCATGT